TTTCGTTCAAACTTGGTAAATACATTACACATTACGGGTTCCTGATGCACGTCATTTTATTTTTTCAGATCAGATTCAAAATGGCTGTCTGGCGGCCATTTTGTTTTAATGAATGGGTTTCCAGACCCATATGGCCGACTTGTTTTGACTGATTATGTTCAAATTTTTAATATTCATTATACATCATGTCACGGGTGTATTGGTTTGACAATTCTTTTCGAAGTGTGCTATTTTTGTGCTAAAAAAATCCTCTAGTATAAAGCATTTCTTGCATTTATGGATGGATTATAAACACACATTAGACATTACAGGTTCCTGATGCATGTCATTTTATTTTTCAGATTGGATTCAAAATGGCTGACTGGTGGCCATTTTGTTTTAATGATTGGGCTTCTAGAGCTATATCTCTTAAATGCTTTGACTGATTATATTCAAATTTTATATATTCGTTATACATCATGTTATATACCGGTATATACATGTATTCAAAATGGTTGATTTTGAATGCTGTTCCAGAGCAATATTTCTCAATATGGACAAGTACTTGTTTGATGATCAGATACAAATGTCAATCATTTTAATGTTAAAAAAATCATATTCCTGACATGGTTATATTCCAGCTATATTACTATAAACATAACTATGTATCTTATATATCTTATCTTATATTTGATAACTAACAGGGACTGTGCCATGCATGGCTTGTTAATATAGTTATGTTATATAAGTTGACCATACTGCTGTAGTGCCAGTGTTAATAAAGTGTATATTCAAACATCTGACTTATCTATTCACAGGCAATATATTTTCCTGATCGATGGTGGCATGGTACGCTGAACATTGATACAAGTGTATTTGTATCCACATTTCTTGGACCAGAAATTTTTTAAAAATCATTCTTCACAGGTTTTGTTTTTAATTTATAATATTTTAAATTTATTATTCATACAAGAATGCATTTGTGATGAATATACTAATAAAAATGACAATGATTTCTTAACAAATGACATCACGGTACAAAGGCAGAAGTGTCTGCTTACTTGTTGAATTCTATGTTTGTGAAGGAGTGAATCTTGTCCAGTAAATTTGGGTCTGTCACACATGCCCGTGGTATGCGTTGATTTTGCATTTTGTTTGTCAATTGCCGATAGAATTTAAACAAGGGATTTTATTCATTTAAATTTTCACCTGGAGATGACATACAACCTAGTTTTATATGACAAGACCAAAAGGAGGAAACTATTACTACTGCCGCATGCAAAGTTTGTTAGCAAATTTGCTAGACAATTTTCAGACAAACATCTGCTTCTAAAATTGAAACACCACTACACAAGTTCTTCCTATCCTCTCAAGAGGACAGACAATAATTGTTCTTCCCCTAGAGTGGTCATTCTATGAAAAAGAACGGATCTAGTTCATATTGCAAAATTCTCTCTTCACATACTATCAACACACTGGTTTATCATGTTTGAACACAACCTGGTTGACACCACAGACAATATAAATTACACAAATGAACACAATCATTTCAAATAACTATTACACAACAGGATTAAGTATATTACAAATATTTTTATTATAATAATAACTCATATTTTTCAGATATTTTGCAAATGTTTTCGGTAATACATTTTTTCTATAATTTAATCCTGAACAAAATGGACATACAGTACAGTTCTGGGGAAGCTTTGGCTTCACTTCAGCTTCACCTTCAGCATCGCATCATTATGGCATTGTTATGGCTTCAGCATTGCATCAATGTCGCAACATTAAAAAGTTAGGCGGTTATCGCTTCGCTTCATTGTGGCCTCATTATGGCGACAATGTGGTATCAGCATCGCTTCATCAAACAAAGCAGCACAGAACTCATTTCGCCCAACCTCTCGCCCGCTTCCGCTTTTCAATCGCTTGCTTTTACGACCGCTTGTTGAATTTCAGCTTTATTTTCGACTGTGCAAAAATTCGGACTACTAACAATTTTCTGGTTTTCATTGATCACGGTTACTATCTAGCATAGATGTTGAACAACCGTCAAAAGTTCAAATACTTTTTGTTTTAACTATCTATAATTATATGCACGCAATCTGACCCTTTGATCTAGATTTGACTGGGATTGACTATTTTATTTTAAACAATATTCTGACGTGACGCACTGCTACAAAATGGATTTTAACACAGAAGTATGACATGGTTGTCCGGGTTTCTTTTCCTGACTGTGTTGAGTTTACGATTTGTATAATTATTATTTCCCCCAAGGAGAACACAAGCCAAAGGACCATGAAGCTAAATAGAAGTCCCACGCATGGACTGAGTGAAAGAAAATATTTCTAAGGCTAAAATAAAACCTAATATCTCTTTGTGTATTTGTCAATTTTGCATGTATTTGGTTAGCCCTGCGTACAGT